TACAGACTTGTATCAATCAAATATGACTATTTACGTTGGGGACCGACCTTTAACGCCATCATCCGAAAGACGTTACGTTTTCCTTAGTTTCAACTTATAGAATTGGGAAGAAAGTATTTAAAGTGAGGCGGAATTAGGGATGACATTGTTACTTCTTGCTTTGTTATGTAAGCTGAAATATATTCATATTACATACATACATACATTTGCTTTCAACAACTTATATGCTTGTTAGATGCTTGCCTGACATGACAACCTGTTTATGCAAGTTTTATTCCATCCAACCTCTCACTTGTAAAACAAATTGAATATATGCTTGTCAGGAGTTCTATGAAAACACATTAATTTAAGGGCCTACAGGGTGTATATCAATATCTGTCAGTAATAAAATCAATCGATGGTCAGGTACCAAACAACGTTTAGAAAATATTCATAATGTAAATGATGTATTGGCATGTCTACTTTTTATGGGAATGTGTTGTCAACAGTCAAACATACATGTATGTCTTTTCTAATGTAGAGGATACTCTTAGTATTTGATATGTGGTTTGTAATCTTTGGAGGTTTTTTCCCCATGTAATTGTAGGCTGTCTTTGCTCTTGGTAATCCACACTTGCTTGCCAACCCTGATTTACCACCCTGTTTTGCTGCATCCTCCGATAAGTTCCCACTTTTCATTTCCTCCATCGTAAGGGTGTTTCCTTCACCCACTTTCTTCTTTCATAGAGCACTTTCTTCTTTTATCTCTGCTACTATCCCCTCTAACCCCCTTTATTGCTCTATTCAGTCATGTACATTGTATATGTTTTGATAGTATCTTACTTCCTCTATGTCTCTCTTCCCACTCCTTTTCTCTTTCTCTCACTTTACTTTCACACAATCCTTTTTGGGGGAGGTGGCCGAAGGGTGTTGAAAGCTGCCTGTTGCTGCATCCTTAATAACTTCCCACTTTTCATTTCCTCCATCATAGGGGTGTTTCCTTTACCCACTTTATTTTTTCATAGAGCACTATCTTCTTTTATCTCTGCTACTACCCCTTAAACTCCCTTTATTGCTCCTATTCAGTCTGTACAGTTTAGATAGTATATATTTTTCTCCCTCTATGTCTCTCTTCCCCCTCTTTTTCTTTCTCTCACTTTACTTTTACCCAATCCTTTTTGGGGGAGGGGGTTTGGAGGGTGTTGAAAGCTCTCTGTTCTGGAAAATCCATTCTTGTCTCTCAGTTTTGTATTACATATACCTCCCTGTTGCTGCATCCCTCAATAACTTCCCACTTTTCATTTCCTCCAGCGTAAGGGTGTTTCCTTCACCCACTTTATTTTTTCATAGATCACTTTCTTCTGTTATCTCTGGTACTATCCCTTTAACCCCTCTCTATTGCTCCTATACATGTATAGTTTAGATAGTATATATCTTTCTCCCTCTTTTTCTCTTTCTCTCACTTTACTTTTACCCAATCCTTTTTGGGGGAGGGGGTTTGGAGGGTGTTGAAAGCTCTCTGTTCTGGAAAATCCATTCTTGTCTCTCAATTTTGTATTACATGTACCTCCCTGTTGCTGCATCCCTCAATAACTTCCCACTTTTCATTTCCTCAATCGTAGGGGTGTTTCCTTCACCCACTTTCTTCCTTCATAGAGTACTTTCATCTTTTATCTCTGCTACTATCCCCTCTAACCTCTTTATTGCTCCTAATCTGACACGTTTAGTTGAGATGGTGAACATATATATTTCTTCCTCTATGTCTCTCTGCCTCTATTCCCCTCTTTTTTTTCTTCACACAAGCCATTTCAGGGAAGGGGCTGGATGGTGTTAAACTCTACTACTCAGTCAGTGCCCCCTCCCCCCTCTCCCTCTCTCTCTCTCTCTCTCTCTCTCTCTTGGTTGTTATGAGGGGAGGGGTACTCTCTCTCTCTTTAATAACAAGTTTGACATCGTTCTATGTACAATATATACCTACCTAACTTTAGATGTCTATTTCTAGCTATTTCTGCCCCCTTAGAAATACCACATTTTGGGTAGAACCCAAGTTATCTAATTGCATCCCTGATATGAGGACCCACTCTCTGCCTCACCATGCATCCTTCTTCATTGTCTTCAATGCAAAATATCTCATCATTGACCCTGATAGCATTTCAAACTGGACATATCACTTTACAAAGTCCAATACCTTCTGTCTTTGTAGAGTGAAGATAGTTTCCGGATACAGACTCTATAAGGCCTGTTTTCATCAGACCGAAGTTGCAAAATAATCTGCTAATTTCAGACTCAGGATATTTTTCCGGAGCTTGAAATTGTGTCCTCACCAGACCGAAACAAACTAGTGCAAATCAGCCCGATATATTTCCCAAATAGCGGGCTATTTTGGAAACAAGACCAAAATTTCTCTGGATATATTTTCTCAACCAAATATCCCGCTAATTGCAACTGCAGCCTGATGATGACGCAAATTAACTGGCTAATATGCGATCGGGATAGTTAAAATAGCGAGTTATTTGGCAAACTCTAGCTGATGAAAACAGGCCTTCTGACTGCGAGGAGCATCTGCAGTACAGAGGCCTATGGAGTGCAGTACATAAATAGTCTCATAATCCAGACCTTATTTGGCACTTTATAACTGACAGGGGTTTGTGGTTGCAAACTACTAGGATGAAGAAGGGTCCCCTCCGGCCTCATTATTACACCGACATCTATCCCTATCTGTATAATCACTTAACATGTTTGCGCCGTGAGCCGTCGTTAGTTACAAACCTGTTGTATGACGAAAACTTGTGGTAGTAGTAAAGCCTCTCATCTTGTGTCACAATATATTAAAGTATTGAGCACCTACAGTTTTAAGCAGCTACATGCACAGTATTAAAGCCCATGAACAGTTTTTGATATGGCCCTTTAATTTTGTTGTCATATTTCTTTGATTTTAATAGATAAATACATGTACACCCATGTAGCAAGATCAACACTCAAAATACACGGGGGCGGTGGGCGATTCGCCCCCGTGAGCTCCACAATCGCCCCCGTCAGATGGTTCACGGGGGCGATTGCAAAATTAAAAATCGCCCCCGTGGAATTATAAAATAAAGATTATCTTTTCTGATATAACTTTAACACAATATTGAGTATCAATTTTCAAACCTTAAACCAATAAAATGGAACTAATTAGATGGCGCTTTCTCTCCCATCTCTATGAGTATTACCGATACAAACAACAGAGCTCGCAGTGCAGCTGTAGTGCGGCCGTCAGCAGTGGCTATACTGCGCCGGTAGTACCGGTGTGCACGCTGCTGACGCCCAATATCTGCTGGAGCTGGAGACGATCGCGCAAGGACTGAAACATGGAGAAGTTTTTCGTTGTGAAAAGTGTGAATCCTCTAAAATCTGGTTATTCTAAAAGATTAGCAAATAATGTAACTCGACCAGTAAATCAATATTGAGAAGAAGATCACCAAAGATGTTGCAGGGGCGGATCTAGGCGGTTTAGGGGGTTTATATAACCACCCCCCCTCCCCCCGTGGGCTGCCAAGTGAAAATGTGATGTGCATAGAAAAATGCTATCATGTGTCATTGTGTCCAGACCTACACAGTATTAGTAGATGTCAGTAGATGCCAGGAAAATATCACTAATTAACGGGGGTTCAAAATAGCGCCAAAAAATCACCTCGCCGCTTCGCGGCTCCTCGACGATGCTCCGCATGTTTGTAGATGCCAGGAAAACGGGGGTTCAAAATAGCAACAACAAAAATCGCCTCGCCGCTACGCGGCTCGTGGACGATGCTCCACATCGTATTTGGGTTACCCCCCCCCCACCCTTAGCAAAAAGCTAGATCCGCCCCTGTGTTTTGGAAGGATATGGTAAAAACTAAAAGTAAAGAAAGAATGTAAATAAGGTTGCTCCGAATAATGAGGAGGACATTGTGTGCAGAGCGGGAAGAAATGGAGAGAATGTCATCACGGAGATAAAAGTCAATAACACGTATGTAACAAGTAAATTTCTAAGAGGGAAAATGCCGACTTAAATAAATGATAATGATAAAATACCAAGGAATTTAGGAGTTTCATGGGTACCAATTCAATACAAATTTGTATTAAAAAAGAGCCCCCGTCGGTACTAAAAGAGCCCCCGTGAGAGGGCTCACGGGGGCTCTTTTTTTTTTGGAAGAGCCCCCGTGGACAAAAAATTAATTTGAGCCTTGAGCAAGATACTATCAATCCTACATTCTGTGCAGTTGTTTCCTTCTTATTTCACTGTCAAATTGTTTGAAAATAATCCTATATCACAATAAGTTCTTAGTACAGTCACATACAATGCATACAACGTCAGGCCTTAAATTTCAATATTTTTAGGGCAAGGCCACTTTTCTGTAGGGCACATTCCTATATTACAGCACAAATTGGAAGAATTGGAAAGGGCACAAAAAATCTCCAAGGCCAATGAGAGGGGCATTCAGGCCAATCAAAAGGGCATCCACGGCCATGGCCTTGGTGGCCTTGGATTAATTTAAGCCCTGCAACGTACAGTATATAGATTAACCATCAGAGACAAGAATAAGAAATTATTATATTAGAATTATGACAATATAGTGCATCCATTCGCCTCCTTCTACCTTCTACATAAATCAGCATCTTTACTCAATGAATGGATATTTAAGTATTGTATATGTATGTTAATTTCATAAATGTCCTTTCATTTTTTTCTCCATGTATAGATGAACCAGCAGAGACCACAATGGTGAAATATTCCTCATGGAATATACCAAATTAATGCATCCATTTGCACCTTCCTGATTGACACAAAACAATATCCCTGTGCTATCTATGAAATTAAATTCATGTTTAAGATTCAAGATTTATTCAAACATACTTTTGCAGGGAGATTGCTGAATTGTGATAGTTTTACAGATAAGAACATGCAGAAGTTACATACAAACTTACAATTTGATCATTACATTATCAGATGGTAATCTCTTGTTTTGTTTCCATTTTATTTTCTATTTTTCCATGCACAGATGAACCATCAGAGACCAAAATAGTAAATGATGTCACACTAGGAACAGACCAACCTATAGACAAACTCAAGTACCATACAGAGGTAATGTATTTCCTTATTTTTTATGACGTTACCAGACTTGGTTATTAAAGGGATGGGGTATCTTTGTCTCAGATTCTAAACAAAATCCAGGATTTAGCTCATGCTGCAATCATAGTTATAAACCATTAGGTCAGTCAGGAATCCCATGACTTTTACAAGTCGATCGTCTGTCTGATTATCAAGATGTTTATGATTGGAAATCGAAATTTCATTTTTTGTTTTCCTACAGTCTATTGGGGAAAATGAGTATGTAAAACCGGTCACTCAAAATTTTTAACTTTTTTGAGGCACTTCATGATCATTTTGAAGCGCAATTTGTTTAGGGCTTCAATATTACACCATATCACAGACACTGATAACATGTAGGATCATGTATCTCAGATTTAACATTGTTAAACGATGCCTTTAAAGAGGATTTTAATCCTGAACTCCTTCTGTACTGTGGTGGCAAATCCTGCCCATGAAACAGGAATTTTGAATAACAATGTGTGATGCTAAAAAGGCACTGCTTTCATTCTCGAAAGCGAAACTGGTACACTCTTTGCAAAGAGTACTTGTATGGATTATTTTTAATGCCCAATTTAACCATGAATCAAGTTTTAAAAGCATAATTTATCACTTTAAACTGCATTATGAGGTTAAGTTTTTGTAATCAACATAATGGCATAAAAGGGGTTAATGTGCATTTTGAAAAGCTTGCAATAGTGAAACCAGAAGAATCAGAAACTACATGTAAGATGTTGAAAGTAATTCAAAATTAGGCAATGTATAAAACAATAGTCATGAATTTGATAGGAATGGTCAGTGAAAGTTTGAGCAAATTCTGATTAAAATCAAGAAACTTATGAATATTTAATTTGCAATCAATCAAACACAAATTGGCAACTCTGTGACGTAACTTGCAAGCTTGCTCTGTAATAAAAAAACATCAAAAATTTTCATTTTCCCTAATGATAAATGTGTTCTGTTATTTTTACCATCTACAGGTTATAGAATCCCTCCTAGAAACAGAAAAGCAGCTCACATCTGAATTACAAACGTTAATATCAACGTACCTCAGACCACTGGAGTCATCAAATATGTAAGTATAGGCCTGTTTTCATTAGCTTAAGTTTGCCAAATAACCAGCTATTTTAACTATCCCGATCACAAAATATCCAGTTAATTTGCATCTTCATCACCCCGCAGTTGCAATTAGCGGGATATTTGGTCGAGAAAATATCCAGAGAAATGTTGGTCTTGTTTCTAAAATATCCCGCTATTTGGTAAAATAGGGCTAATTTGTGCCCGTCCAAGCTAGTTTGTGATGAGCGTATACATGTAGGTCTGGTGAAGACGCAATTTGGAGTTTCAGGTTAATATCCCGAGTCTGAAAATAGCGGGTTATTTGGCAAACTTGAGCTGATGAAGACGGGCCTTTTGGGAATTTCTTTCTCAAACCTTAGACCCAAACTATATACTTAACCCTTCCATTTACCCATACCCTTTGGCCCGAATTCACAAAGCAAGGTTTGAGCTCAAACCTCCTTTTGTTTCGCCAAACCTCCTTTTGTTCTTTACAAAACAGGTTTGTAAAAAACGTGTAAAACGCGTCATATGACGTACGAAAACCTCCTTTGTGAAATCGGGCCATAGTCTTTAAAGGGAAATCCAACCTTGTGTACATTTACAGAAATTCAAAAAGTACAATTTGAAAGAGGAGCTTTGTTAGAGAACAAATCATGAGACAGCGTTTGATGCATAGCATATTTAGATTTTAGAGACCTTATTGAATAGATGTTTAAACAAAAATGCAGAGATGGTATCAAGTTATTCTTTTGTTAGGTCATTTCAAAGATGGTAGAAGGATTATTATTAAAAACATGTGCTTTAAATCTGTAAAAGATTATGAAAAGGTCGGTTTCAAAGAAACACTACAATGTCACTTTAGGACAAAAGCAAAATCTTTTTATTCCAAAATAACTTTATAAGGAAGTAACTGTGTGCAGTAGAGTATGGAAGAAGGCACACAAAAAGGGGAAAATTGAGCATCTCCATTACAATGGAAAGAACAGGAGTTAAGATAAAACATATGAAATTCAAAGATACACTTGTGATTCTATTATCTCCTCTCTTGTACTGTGAATGATAAGGAAAGAATTGGAAGGAAAAATGTAAATCATCTTAAAGAAACCCTTTATTAAATTGTTGTACACTTTATTGCAGTTGATACTGAGAGCGATCATTTAACAGAATCGATACATAATCACTTGCTTGCTTGTGTTATAGAACTACTTCCCCTTTCCTTATCACAACCTATCATATAGACTCTTGTTTTTGGTGAAAGAGTTTCCTCTTGCTTTATATACCCTATCTTAAAGAAGAGATTGATTTCTGATAAATGTGGGGGTTGGTCTTTTTTTTAAATTTTCATGTAGTAGACTATCGTAGTAGCAATGTTTCATGAAAAGGATTATGCTTAATGTGTGCTCATAAATAGTATATGACTTAATAATTGGTTAATTTTTTATATATAGAAAATGTTGAATAAGAGAACTTAAACTGCCTTTAAACGAAGAAAGAAATCCACTGATTTTTATCTAAAAACCATCAATTTTCTCTTGGAAACTTGATATGAATTTGCCTTTGCAACAATTCAGCTTTTATGAAACCATACAGTGTTATTGCATTTTGTCAGAGGAAAAGAAGTTAATTGATTGAACAATCCCTTAAACTGCATCCTTTTTCCTGAAGCAAATTGATAAATAGATCACAGATTCTATTTCTAGATAATCATCACAACACATCCTCGTCCAACGACTGTGTGGGCTGTAGGACATTAAAGTCCGTCGATAAGGACTTAGGAAAGATTATGTGGGTTGTATAATTCAGATCACAGATTAGGAGCAATTTTTGTCTTTAGCATCATTAACTTTTCCCATTAATAGGGAGAGATTAGTTGGACTGGAGAGCAATGCCACGGAAACGGAATGAAATTCCATTTATTACCGCAGATCATAATCATAAATTCACTATGACATAGAATAAAAAAAGCCATCAAAATAAATCTTTCATGGACACTTTCTCCACTAATGGCCATCTAATCATAATCAAGCTTTCGAGTTTAGAGATCTTGTATTTCTAAGTAGCAAATCTAAATGTTTAAGGATATATTTTGTGTCAGTAAATCAATGCCAAATTGCCCTCATATTGAGAAACTTTTTTTTCTTTTTTTTGTTCCATTACTGTGAAAATTGTTTGGAATTGATCAACTTCCTATTTTTCCCCCTTTTTCTTTTACATGATGGATTAATATTTTTTATAACAAAATTACTATTCCTCAGTTTCAAAGTGAATTTTTTGTTTTTAAACTTTTGTTTTAGAGGTCAAATTTGTGAAATCACAGTCCATTAGCCTAGGATAATCACAAGCCGTTCTCACCATGTAACTTATTTCAACACTTCTCTTCTTGATATCCTTATTCAGATCCTTGGAAATACAATAAGGGTTTATTTTGATTTCCTCCTTTTCTTTAAAAAAATGCTACATATGTAAATGAAATTGTTATCAGTTCCAACACAACCCTCCCCCACCCTCTATGTTTTCTTTTTTTCAATTTTCTTGTGCATAATGTTATTTCACCATAACAAATCACCTATAAAATGTCAGCTTAACAGTAACACAACATTCTCTCCAACACTGTATACATTTGAAAATTCTCTGTATAAGCTTTCCATCACTAATTTTATTGAAGTGCAGAGGTGTACTATTTGTATCTCTATTCTTTTCATTTTTTTTTATTGGTATTAGTCATAATACCCTTTTCAACATTCTTTTGAGTTACTTGTCATGAAAATGCATGTATGTATTTGGCAACCTAGATTTTTGTCATATTCAGAATACTGGAATTTGATTTGAGTATAATCTCTTTTTAGATCAGGTCTATGGGGATTTAAGAAGGATTGGACAGGGGCTGTAGGATTAGGATTAACCTTGATGCTGATAGATAGTAAATACAAAATATTTATATGTGGGGGGGGGGGGCAAAATGTTTGCATTCTATGAAAGATAAACCACCAGTCATGAAATTTTGTTGTGAAAAATATGCCTAAAAGTAATTCTGAACGTGAATAGTGTATGTATGATGTATTGTGAAGATTTGAAAATCATCGAAAGTATAAACTGAATTTCACTAAAATTACAGACAGTGAAAAGCAATGGACAGAGATACAACGTGTAGGGGTACGTTGGACCACACGAATATGCATCAGAATTATTTAGACCCCCTGTAAATTTTCATAACTGAAGAATGAAAGGTAGATTGGTTGGCCTTTGTTAAATACTTTTAGATGAACCGGTAGGCTGTAGTATATCAATTTCTCAAGAAACAAACTGGTAAATCGGGACAAATTAATATTCACATACCTTAAAAATTACAAAACTTGGTAAGGGTATGAATAATTTAGTTTTTTATGCTGTACATGTATTTTAATTTATGGCTATTTCCAGCCGTACATAATTGTTTTGTTATTTTTTTTCTTGGGGGGGGGGGGGGAGGGGGCCTTTATCAGTATTCAGCCTTTTGATGGGGACCAACTACAAAAAAAGTATTTTTATGTGAATGTTTGGGCTCCATCCCAATATATTATGAAAGTTAAAAGGGACTTTTTGACTCGAGCATATGTTCTATGTACATGAAGAGAATTAAATCTTACTCATATTCTGTGCACTGGGTTAATTTTTTTTTAGATCAATTTTTTCCTTCATACTCCTAAACCGTTCACCCGTAGAATTTCTGTTAAACTTTTGAGGGGTTCATTTTATCCATACTAGCTTTAAGAAAACGTTTATTTAGGTTTTTGGGCATCTTTAGTATGACTATTTAGGTAATGACCTTCTCATCCTTTTCCTTCTCTCTCTCTCTCTCTCTCCCTCTCTACAGCCTCACGTTACAGGACTGGTCAACGTTATGCAGCAACCTAGACGATCTCCTCACCTTCCAACATAACCTCACCAAATCGATAGAAGAAGCTGGAAAGTAAGTCCAAACTATTCGAACTGGGCCCAGTTTCATGAAACTTGATATCAATAACACGTTACAAGCTACTGTTATAAGCTACAGAAATCATAGCATCTGATTGGCTGAGAGCAAATTTGTCATAGAAATTTAGCATTTGTTATAGATAACAAGTTTTATGAAACAGGCCCCAGTTCTGTCCCATTCACATATGCCTCTTAGATTGCCACTTCGTTTTCTTTCTGTTGTGTAATCAATGAATGGCAAGTGGGGATGAAAAAGGTAGCTGTGAAAGGTCCAAGGCGTGGTCACTTACATCTGCCTTGTAAGATACAAATATGTGAAGTGCATTTTTATTTTTTTTTTAAGTTGGTATAAACCATTGTGACCTACCTTTGCTTATGTGAACAAGTCTTTAAAGGCCGTCTGTACTAGTTTTCCTAAGAGGGATTAGACCACCCAGGAAGGTCACTGACAGGTGGCTATCTCATCAACTCGGCTCTCAATCAACATAAGAAAAAGAGGATCATGGGGGACCAATGGTCACCGATTAGGCATTGTTTTTCTATATAGAGGGAGCAAATAGCTACAAGCAGTACAGTGGGTCCTTAAAGGGGAACCTCAATCTAGTATTGAGTGTTTTGATTAAAGAGGTAAACTAAAAGAAATAGATCAGTAAAAGTTTGAGGGAAATCTGGTATTAAAGAAGGATGCAAAAGTAGTGAACTTTTCAAGGAGATTTATGGATTTGAGCACCGCTCATTGGATTTGCATTCAAAGTGTAGTGAACGAACATTCTCAAATGACATGTTCTGAAATTAATTTCATTATGATCAACTTTAATTCATGACATTTTTTAGAATACAACAAATAGGAGAGTTGCTTGCAAGGTAGACAAAGGAGTTGCCAATTTGTGTTTGATCGATCACAATTCTAACTTTCATAAAATATTTCCTTTCTATCAGATTTTGTAAAATATTCAAAAATTTGTAGGTATGGTTTGTCATATATACAACAAGCCAACTTGTTTCAAGCTAGAGTTTGTGTTCTTTCCCTATAAAGTCTTGTTTACACAAGACATAATAAACCACCAAAAAATCCACTGTGGCAAAATAAACCAATTTCATGAGTAAATCCATAGTAAGTTGGGCTAAAATGGGAAGCTACCCTGCCTATCTCTACTCTAAATCACCCTTTATTAATTTCAGGCTGAAATCACTAGCTCTTACTTTTACAAAGCCTCATAATTAGCTCAAAAGAAACACAACACCATCATCCAATTAGTCATCGAAACTCGATAATTAACGATCTTCCAGAGACGTGTAGATTACCGCACCGGGCTTTACCAGAAGCCTAGGGAGAGGGCGACGGGCGGATTATCGTTCGTCGAACACGACACCGACTTCTCGGTGTCCTTTTTCCCTTCGTATCAAGGACAACTTCAGACAAAACAAGCAAACAAACGAAAACAAATTTTTCCCTTTTTCTCTCTGCGGTAGGCTGGAAGGGAAGCACAGGCGGATAGGGGCTTGTTTCATGAAAGTTTCAACTCAATATAGGACCTTGTACTCAATCTACTGTGCTAATCATCCACGGGCTGGAGCAGTATTAAGCGAAAACGGGTAAGTTCTAGACTTTTTATCATGTACATGTTAGAGCAGGTAAAATGTATTCAAGCTACCGTGCCCAAGAGTGAAAAGCTAGTCAGTTGCATGACAGAGTTAGCCTTTGGTCGCTTAATAATCATAATGATAATGAAGATAATAATATGTCTTGTTTACCCAGGGTAGCCTCATCAGTATTAAAGGTAAAGACCAGTTTTGGAAACGCCCCCTATCAAAAAATGAAATGGAAGCTCTTATTACCAAACATGTGAAAGAATATGCTTTGACTAATACGTGATCATACAAATTTTGCTGAGAAACCGCCTACTAACTGATATATTTGGTAAATTATTATAACTATTTGGACCTGATAGATATAACGCACGTGTCGTGCACGTGTGCGTAGTCCCATATACATCTTTCTGTGTACAGTTCTTGTTACTTTACCAGGACTGGGCCAAATTTCTTATCATTTTGATGATTCCATAACCTTGCAGTACACACCGTTACTTATATGCTAGATGATCAGCCTTTTCTGATCGATTTCACAATGTTTCTTTCACAATGCAATCGCATGACCAGAACTGGTCTTTGTCTTTAATATTGTTTTCCTTGAGGGCCCTGCAATTATATTATCACCCGGCTTAATCTTGATCTTGATCTTGTGTATGCACCCCTTCAAGAAGCGATTACATGCAAGGTGTCCTTTGCAACATGCAACTTTTATTCATTGTTTTATCAAAATTTGAACGGTCTCTTGATTTGATCAATAAGTAATGATACATGTACTTTCACTTTCCCTGTCGTTAGTCAATGGTCATATTGAGATATTTTTAATGAAATAGATGAATAAAAGAGACATATCAGACAGGACACACTGCATGGAATCTTCCAAAGCTATAGAAGAGAACTTGATATAGGACCCTGTACTAAACCTACTGTACTAACCTTCTAAAAGGGTATTAGTATTATTAAACAGAACACATGTGAGGTGCTAACTATTAGCAAATATGAGCAAGAAAGATATTAGTTGCATTGCTTATCAAAGAGAGTATGCCTTCTTCAGATCACTCTTGAGTTTCTCTGCATATGAGTGCAAGAAAATGCTGACTACTGTTTTGGGTTCTTGAAAATAATCAACTGTCCTGCTACAAATTGTTCATCTCAGAAGTGTAACCAACATTATCTGTTCTGACATTTGGTATTCATATAACAAATCAATGATTGCGAGGGCGTAGATTGTAGATCACAAGGCGAAGTCCAAGTGCCTTCTTTATTTTTGTTTTAGGGCTTATTTGTAGATCAAGTACCATGTAATATCTTTTTAGGAAAGCAGAACAGTTGTTATCTCTAGCATTCTGTCATGAGCCCACTGTGCACTCGATGATCCCTTTCTGATACAAATCTCAAAAGAATTTGCAATACCATTTAGATGTGACTGGCGCTGCTCAGTGGCTGCCGGGCTCACGATCAATTGGGCAAAAGAATTTCCGTTTCGGTTTAATAAAATTTGGAGTGGACTATTAGGCTATTATTATTATCATTATTATTATTAAACATTTAAAATCTAACAAATAATTCACAAGTACAGAATAACCCAGAGCTATGCAAATTATATCAAATCATGCAAATCAATAAAGTGTTGTGTTGTTTTGTTAAGTCTATTTCATCGATGATTGATTCTGTAAGTGATCTTCAAGTATTCGATCAAGAATTCAAATTGGCCATAATTCGTCATTTGCTGACTTCTTGTTTGTACAACAAAAGTTAATATAGCATATGAATCAATATTTGTGGAGGCATATGTCACGTTCGAGGGCTATGATATGATCTAATCAACTTCCCCATATCAAAGCCATTTGAAACCTTGAAAACCAGGAAGTAAAAATCATGTCGGCCATTTGCAAATTTGTCATACAGCAAAGAGATTTTGTAGTGGATATTTTTATGCTCTAATATTGTTATGTTTTATGTAAATCATTACTATATAAGAGGAGGAACTGAGTTTTGATATGTTGAAAAATATATAGATCGTGCCAACATTGAATGAGATACACTATCAAAATATTTGGATAAGTAAAGGTTGTATTGAAGTATGTTTTGTTTTCTGCATGTTTTTTTAAAAATTCTGTCTATGTTAGTATGGCTGCAATATTCCCTTACTTCTCTCTCTCTCACTCACATTTTCTGTTTCACTTTATCTCATTCTCTCTACCCTCTCTTTCTCCTCTTTCTTATCCTAGGTTTTTAGATTAGGGTTAGGGTTAAGTATAATTAAGTATAGGATTTGGTCCAGGCTAAAAAGTTTTGGATTAATTTAGGGTTTGATATTAACAGCAAAATAATTGGTGTCGGAGCATATATCATGCGATATCACATGCCCTTTTAATTTGGAAACCGTCACAATATCAGGTTTCGCTCCAAGGTGATGAAAGTAAACAAACATGTACATCTATGTCATCATTACAACCCATAAATGTTGTTGTTCCACAGGGGAGTCTCTTGGGTCCTTTATTATTCATGACATGAATAACTTGTATGAATCTTTAGATCCCTATTAAAGTAAAGGTCATAACATGTGCATAAAGTGTTGATATCATCGACCTTTTTAGGTATGATTATTTGAATATTGTGATAAATGATTGAACGATTGAATGAATGAATTAATTCATTAATTAATAAGTTAAAGATTAATTAAATGAAAAATATTTGTTTCCGTTCTCTTTTCCAGTGATGAGCTGAGTAGATTTATGGAGAGTAAAGGCGCCCCCAGCCCCGGGATCATGTTCTTAACGACGGGACTGAGCAGCCCTTTCAGAAAGATGGAAAAGTACACAGCAGTCCTCAAAGAACTAGAGAGGCATTTACCGGTACTAATTATGCATATATATTTGTATTATATTATTATTATTATTTTATTTGGCAAATCAAGTCACATAAATACAACAATATAACAAACATGAATTAAGATAAAACCAATAGAAAGCATATATAGCAATAGCAGGTGCATCCAGTAGCAGGTGTATGCTCTCAAATGTGTCCTCCAAAATGTGTATCTTTCAAGAAATTAACAATAGAGGGTTAACACAGGTGTAAAAAGCTAATAATTGGAAAATTAAACAGGTTTAGTAGTAGAATGTTTTACATGTCTGTATCTTACATATAACTCACAGATTTGTAATGACCCATAAGGGTCTTTTTTGTAAGCACAGCTATTGTTTTACAATCAATTTAGCATAATCCTTTTTGTTATAAGATATAGGAATGTGAAGCCTTTACTTCATCATAAAAAACGCAGCAGTTTGCCATATTTGATCTGAACAAGCCTTTATTGAAATTATGCCAAAATCATTTCAACCTGCAAAATGGCTTTGGTTCTCCCAAACAACCCTTTTCATATGTCCTAAGGCTAAATCCAACGCAATACAGACCAATGGTAAACATATTTCCAACCAGAATATACCTTGATACTGAGAATCATTCTTATGACACAGATCACTGTACTCTTTCTCTTGTTTGTAATATTTTGCTTTGTTTTGTTTTGTTTCTTTGTATTTGTATCTTCAGGCTGGTCATCCAGACAAAATTGATATGTCAACAGCCATCTCAGTCTACAAAGAAATTGCTGTGAGTATCCCCCTCTCTCTCTCTCTCTCTCTCTCCATCTCTCTCTCTCTCTCTCTCTCTCTCTATTTCTCTCTTTATTTATCTTTCTCTCACTATGTGTCCTTAAGTTTTTTTGAGTTTCTAGTTTTGAGAGTTCGCAGCAGGCTGGGCCAGTTCGCATTATTTGTTATATTTTTTCTTCTTCATTTAGATAGGGGGCATCTGTAGCTCATGCTAGAGTTTAAGTACTGTAGATTGCTCATATTTTAGCTATAATAGTAAATCAACAATAGTAATATATTGCTACATGAGTATCTCTCTTTCTTCCCCCCCCCCCCACCTCTCCCTATCTCTCACTCTGTGTGCTTAAGTTGTTTTGAGATTCTAGTTTTGAGAGTTTGTAGTACGCTGGGTTAGTTCGTATTAATTTGTCTTTCTTTCTTTTTCTTTTGGGGTTGGGGGAGGGGGGCGTTGTTAGCTCATGATAAAGTACTTTAGTTTGCTCATATTTTGATATAATAGTACAGCACTTCGAAGCATCAGTATTAAAGGTGAAGACCCGTTTTGGAAACGCCCCCTCTCAAAAAATGAAATGGAAGCTCTTATTACCAATCATGTGAAAGAATATGTTTCGACTAATACGTGATGATACAAATTTTGCTGAGAAACCGCCCACTAATTGATATATTTGGTTAATTATTATATCTATTTGGACCTGATAGATATTGCGCACGTGTCATGCACGTGTCGCGTTGTCCCATATACATCTTTCTGTGTACAGTGCTTGAAACTTTACCAAGACTGGGCCAAATTTCTTATCATTTTGATAATTCCAGAACCTTGCAGTACACACCAATACTTATATGCTAGATGATCACCCTTTTCTGATCGATTCCACAATGTTTCTTTCACAATGCAATCGCATGACCAAAACTGGTCTTTATCTTTAAGCACTATAATATTGTTATTATCATTATCATTATTATCATTGTAATTATGTATCTATATATCACTCTTGTACAGACATATTGCCAAGCAATGAGGAAACGGAAGGAGATAGAGCTTGATATCATGACTGGTCCTATCCAGGGCTGGGAGGGAGATGTAAGTACAAATCTTTTTCTTCTTATTTTCTTCTTTTTTCCCATCATTTATTAACTGAATAATCCATATAATTATGTTCATAACAAAGAAAAAACATGTGAGTTGTACTTATATCACAAAATTAATTATACTTTAAAAAAAAAAACATAATCAACATTTTTTTCCAGGGTGATACTTTTCAACACTTGTCCTCCATAATGTTGAATATGTTTGTAAAATTACATTTTCATTTTCTTTGAGTACAAATCTGGTACTCTAGGTTCATTGTTAGCATCCATTTACACTCGCTTACGCATACCACTGTAACCTGTGAAACTGTAGGAAATCATAAAATTGATGATAGTAATATTGAGACGCTTTGATGTACTGTGACACTAGAGTTTTCACTCAAGTCAACTCCTGAAATATTCTCATCTCTCTAGCTTTATTCCGCCCAAGTTCTTTCAGTATTCTATAGTTAATTCAAGCACCTTCCTCAGCAGGATTAGCCTGCATTGTATGTTAACGTGCCCCTCCCGTTGTTTCATGTACAGGGGCTATGTTAAGTGGAAAACACTGTATTCCTCAGGTAGGACGTTAAATGGAGCCCCCGTGTAGAACAGATATATGAACGGAGGGACCGCATTCAGGTTCCCCAAATTTCTGGTAAAAGGGTACTTTCCACGCAAAGGCCTGTATTGACTTTACCCACCGGACTTAGGGGGTTGCTTTCAAAGGAAGGGAACATGCATACGCGTACCCTAAATAACACTGAGTGGGGGGGGGGTGGGAGTAGAATCACCACCTTTGCACATTAAGAACCCTCTGCGCTATTCGTATAAGAGTAGGGGGAAACTCCGGTGTTGTGGTCCACCTGCACCCCCCCCCCCCTCCCCAAATCAGTTAAATGGGGGAGGAGATACCTGAGGGTTACAGTGATTCTGTTTGCCTTTCGACTCCCAGGCACAGGTGACGCCAAATCAATAATAATAACCAAAGAATATTTCTAAATTTAAGGCGCACTACATGTATCTATTTCATCACCTTTACCATCTTTATCCTCTTTATCCTCTGTCCAGGAAATCCATCATCTTGGTGAGGTGATAGAGATGACGCAGGGTGCCGTTTACATCGATGGAGCCAAATGTGAACGGTTCTTCCTGGTCTTCCATCAATGTTTCATCATGCTCTCTCCAACGTCCGGAATGAACGGATTCATCTTCTTGGTAAGACCTCACACCTCAAGGTAGTTTCAAACATTTTACAAGCCCAGACTGAGGTACTTTGTCACATTTGCAGGCCAGAAAATGAAAAGGTCAAATTCCAACGGCATTTGAAAGACAAATACTAATTTAGAACTTCCCTCAAAACGAAAGGGCTTGAAAATGGCTTTTAGTGGGAAAATAACGACCATTAGTTGTCGAAGTGACTTAAATGATTGCAGTCGCCGAAGTAATAGTCTGATTTTCAGACCCTTTTACCAAATGGTTGTACGTTTTGTGGTGCACAAAGATTCAATCAGTTTAATTTTGACCATTACAAGTAGTGGGTTATTGGTGTAGACAAATGCTCATGTACCTGTTACAGCTCATTTTATGTATGTTATTACCAAAGAAAGAAAGGTGTCAGTCAGTCATTTAATAGTGTCTGAATGTGAAGTCTAGAAGGTAAACAGGTTTCCTTGCATAATTTGAATACTAAAACACTGCTAATGTTTAAATTTCACAGATAGGATATACATGACATATTCATAATTCCTGCAAAGTTCTATAAAATTTGATGTTGGCTGCAAAAGGGACATAGTATCTTTTAAAAGTACTATGTCCCATTTGCAGGCCAAAAATATGAAAAAGTTAAATTCCAACTGCATTTGAAAGATAATACTAATTTAGAACTTCCCTATAAAAGGTGGGGCTTGAAAATGTCTTCAAGTGGAAAATAACGACTATTATTACCCGTATCAGACATCTGAGCTGGTCATTTACAAAACCGTATTGCCCTAGTTTTCACTAGCAGTGGGAACGGAGGGGTATATTCTTTGTATTTTCCTTGGTCTCCCTGCGCGTATTGACTTTGCGTGGAGAGACGAGTGAAAATATACCTTGGTATTTTCCACTGTCTCGCATTTTCATTGCGCATCTATTAATATTATGCGTACGAGAACCTGCGCACTTTGCGCGCACTCTATTGTGACGTAATAATCACACCAAATACACACTGTTTGTAGTGTATCGGAAATTTTGTCAAGCACTGGATGCTCAGTGTTGGTTTGACAAAGTTTGTTCAGTTCTTGAGAATGTCATGGTGGATGTCTGTATTTGCTCTAGATGTCTGATTTGGATAACAATAAAAATATTGACTGGCTTTACTTTCGGGGGATATCAGAAATATTGACCGCGCTAAGACCATATTGCCCTCGTCTTTCGACTCGGGGCAATATGATCTGAGCTTGGTCAATATTTCTGATATACCCCTCAAGGCCAGTCAATATTATATAATTAGTTGTCAAATCGACTTTAGGGCTATAGAGCCCGAAAGTAATAGTCTTGATTTTCAGACAATTGTACCGAATGGTCATACGTTTTATGCCGCGCAAACATTCAATCTGTTTAATCTTGGCCTTCACAAGAAGTGGGTTATTGATTTAGACAAATGCTCATGTACCCTTTACAACTCTTTTCATGTATGTTATTGCCAAAGAAGAAAAAAAGCCAGTCAGTCACTCAATAGTGTCTGACAGTGAAGTCTAGAAGGTAAACAGGTTTCCTTGCATAATTTGAATACTAAAACACTGCTAATGTTTAAATTTCACAGATAGGATATACGTGACAAATTCATAATTCCTGCAAAGTTCTATAAAATCTGATGTTGGCTGCAAAAGGGACATAGTATCTTTTAAGGCCAGTCACCTATGATGATAAGTGAACCTGAGTCATTACATATAGTTTTAAAACCAGAGTCTGACTTTCTTAACACTTGCGTTCTTCGCCTCTCTGAACGGTCACTCGTTGGCAACACGTGCAATTTTGCACGAAACAAAGGCGCCAATGACGGAAAGATTGCTTTTTCCAACACAATAGTCTTACAAAATTACCCATTTCTGGTCTAGCTCCATGACAACCCTTTTAACACTGGTATAAATTAATCGTGCTCTGGAAACAATTGAATAATCTTGAACTTTTTGGTAAGTCTATCCCAGGAAAAATACAATACTGAACAGGGAAATCATTTGTGTGGCATACTTAGAGTGAAACTGATGGGACTCTGAAGCACCGATGAATCTCTATATGTGGGACAACAATATGGTTTTTACATACTTTGCATGTCACCTACTTTTCACTGAATTCTGAACATTTGTTCTCCTCCTCGTCTCTGACTACCACTTGACTTACTTGACTTAAGCCTTACACACCATCACTGGGATGTATGATGGCTTCTGTTTCACTATGGCTTGCCACACCTTCCTATCTTCTGTCAGCCTAGTGGCTTTAGTCAGGGAGTCAAGGTGTCTGTTGTTGCAGTCCGCCTTGATGCAGTCTGTCTATCTCTTGGCTGGTCTTCCCCTCGAGCGTTTGCCATGGACATTTCCGTTCGAGAAAGATGTGGGGGTATCTTTTTTTATTCATTCTGTTGATATGTCCAAAGTATCTCAATGTTTTCTTTATTTTTTTTTTTACTACTACCACTTGCAGGGAAGGTATCCTGTCACATCGGTGAGGGTCAACAGGTTACCGGACACGGAGAAGGAGCAGGGGGCCTTTGAGCTGAGCGCACAGGGCCTCGAGAAGACCAAGATAATCTGCCCGGCGGTCCTGGATCGAGAGCAGCTGTTCGACGCCATCGAGGTGGCACCCTCTCGAGTTCCGCAGAAGAACTCAACGCCGATGCCGTCGCCCGGGCTGTGTGGGTCACCCCCACCTGTGCCTCCGGTAAGTGTTCTTGTCTGTAGAATTTCAAGTTCTTTGAAGTGGGGGGCGTTTCACAAACTTGTCATCAGTGACAAATGACAGTTTTTGTTATAAGCTACTGAAATCCTTGCTTCTGATTGGTTGTCAGCATATTTGTCACTGGTTTTTGTCATTTGTCATAGAAAAAAGGATTTGTGAAAAGGGTCCCTGTCCTTTGATTGTCAACCCTGCGATGATGGCAAACTTCCCATGAAGTCCATTGGGTTAATCATTTAGGCATGTTCAGACATGACGCGGCAAAACTGCAGCATGCTTTTTTTAAATGATGATGTGAAGTGTAATACGCTTCAACATTTCTGTATTGTATAACACAGAGCTCAGTTAGTACGTGCAAGTTCTTGTTGCACGCAGTTGCCATTCATAGACGCGTAAAAAAACCAGCAGTGGCCATTTTGTGGTGGTTTACCGTGCCATATCTGAACAAGCTTAAATCTTATCTTTATTCAAGAAAAAAAAATGTTCTGTAAAGAAAGTTGGTACTTGTAAAATTGGACTTGAATATGCAGGTCGGCATGACATGGGCCTGTTGCATAAAAACTTACCGTTGATGGTAACATGGCTCGACAGCCAATCAAAATCAAGGTTTCCATGGTAGTTACCATTGATGGAAAAGTTATCATCAATGGTAAGTTTTGTGCAACGGGCCCTGGTTGTTCCTCAACAATCCTATTGTTTAGTGGCATAGAGGAAGTGATGATTTTCCAACCTGTGTAGATGACCACTACCATGTACGTGCACGTAAGATGGGTCATAGGTTAAATCATCTCGCTCCAGATAGTCCCCTCTCACGTACAATGTCTATGAGAAGGAAATATTCTGGAGCTTCATGATATGTCTGACCAATCAAGCAACTTCCGGCTGGGTAACTATCTTTCTCGAGCAGCTATGGCCACTACAACAAAAGACCACTTATAAATATCGGAACAAAAATGATTTTGTACCAAAAAGACAAATGTTTTATATTAATTGATTCTTGTGAGATTTAGATGAGACTTACAGTTATTATTTATTTTTTTAAAACCTTTTTATTGGCTCGCTTGATCGGTTCGAAAGGGGAGGGAGGGAGACTGAAAAAAACTTTGAATGCTTCCTATAGAGTGGAGAATGTGCATTCATTATGCGTGGGCAATCCTGAATCTGATGACTGGGATAATGATATACAAGGGGGGTGTTTCACAAAGACTAAGATCGACTTTAAGTTGGACTTAACTATATGGCAGGCTGTTCATGCCACTAGTCGCTCTCACCAGTATGATCTTTAGATACTATTTTTTCCTTCAATAATGAATTGTCAACAAAATTAAATTCTGTAGATTTGTGACCATGATTTGTACGTCCCTTGAGAGACCAATGCCTGTAAATGGCGAGAGCAAACCGTGGCATGAATCGCCTGCCATAGTTGAGTCTAGTGCTGTAACATCACGGATATCTCCAATTCCGTTTAACCGCCTGTCAAAACCGGACGGTTTTCGGTTAAACGATTTATTATTAAAAAAATAAAAATAAAAAAATAAATTAAAAAAAAAAAAAAAAAAAAAATCATTTTTTTTTTTTTTTTTTTTTTTTTTTTTTGGCCGTGTGAAAAAGCAGGAAGGTGATTTAACTGAAGGCGGCGATTTGTGCTTGTGAACTAGTCACAAATAATATTAACAATGTCGTTTTAGCATAATGTGTAAGATCATTAAAGTAAATTAAAAACAGTAGAGGACCTAGGATAGAACCTTGTGGTACACCATGTGTTAAACTTGGATGAATATATATTGAGATCTATTACAAAGACTACTTTCAAACCAAGATGACAGACAAATTGGAGTGTTGTTCTAGTTTCCAAGTGGTAAGTCATCACACCGATTACTGAGCTGGGAGACATTGCCAGGTGGAGGGGCATAAATCAAAACTTTAAAAAAAAAAAAAAAAAAAAAAAAAAAAAAATTAAAAAAAAAAAAAATTATTAAAAAAAAAAAAAAACGGGAAAACGAAACCGTCCAATTGAAAACGGAATCCGCCATGGGCGGTCGGATACCGGACGGTTAAACGTTTGACTACAGCACTAGTTGAGTCCAACTTAAAGTCAATCTCGTCTTTGTGAAACACTCCCCCTGAGCTGTAAAATACTTATAGACATTGTGCATGTATTACGCACTGTATAAACCCAGAATATTATCATTCATATTTTTATATCATTGCCTTTTGAACATGTTCCTTTATACTTTTTGCTCTATCTCTCTTCAGGCTGCAGGCAAACCAGGAGCGCCAAACTCCCTCCCGGACTCCAACCACATCACCTCCAACAGCCCCATCCTAGCAAATTGCCGCGACCTTGCCTCCCCAGTCCCCATGGCGATGAGGCACGGCAACGTCATCACCTGCCTCCGCCCGGCCCCGCCCATCAACCCCATGACCATCTGGGCTCGCAAGGAGGGCAGCGGGAAGAGCCCCAGGGGGAAGAGGCGCAATCTGACGAAGAAGAAAGGTGAGGGGGAAGGTCTGTCTGATAAGACTAACTGACCAGGGGCGTGTTTCACAAAGACTAAGATCAACTTAAAGTGGACTTAACTATGGTAGACCATTGATGCCACTAGTTTCTCTGACCATTCGTTGCATTGGTTTCTCAAGGGACGTACAAATCATGGTCACAAATCTTCACAATTTACATTTGTTTATAGTTTATTATTGAAGGGAAAATATTATCTAAAGATCATGATTGAGAGACTAATGATGAGAGCAACCAGTGGCATAAATGGCCTGCCATAGTTCAAGTCCAACTTAAAGGGATCGCTTAGCAATGTTAAATCTGAGATACACGGTCCTACATGTTACCCGTGTCCATGATATGGTGTAATATTGAAGCCCTAAAAAAAATAGCGCTTCAAAATGATCAAGAAGAGCCTCAACAAAGTAAAAATCTTTGAGTGACCGGTTTTACCATACTCGTTTTTCCCAATAGACTGTAGTGTTATGAAAACCGTTTGGCGAACGGTTTTCAAAATTTGTAATTCCAATCATTAATATCTTGATAATCAGACAGGCGATCAGCTTGTAAAAGTCATGGAATTTCTGACTGACCTAAAGGTTTATAATTATCATTGCAGCATGAGCTAAATCAAGGATTATTTCTAAAGGATCTAAGACAAAGTTACCACATCCCTTTAAGTTGACCTTAAAAGCACAGTCACTTTAAATGTCCATGTTTAGCATCAACTTTCCGTCTTTGACATGATGTCCAGTTAGTTAATTTTATTTGGGGGGGGGGGGGGAACACTACCAGTAAAAGATAACCAGCATGGAAAACAGACGTGCTTCTTCTTGCACTCAGAAAAAACTGCAAGTTTGAACAAAATGCCAAAATCTGGAAATATAAACAGAAACTAATGGAACAATGTGCACGAAAAATAACACTCTTATTAGGTGAAGCTAGGCTTTGTTACCAGCTGGTTTATACCCCATTCATATCAACGACAAAGACTCCAGACCAACTAAGGTCTGAACCAAAAAATCACATTACTCCTAATGACCAAACATCAGTTGCTTTGGAGTAAGCTTTGAGTTGGTCTGACAGTGTGACTGAAGTATTGGTGTCAACTGAATCTTATCTGGCTATCTCAAATTCAGTCAAACCTGTCTTAGTGAAAACCTCTCCATAAAGGCCACCTTTCTATAGTGGTCATGCATTTTGTCCCCCCTTGTCCTTGAGAGAAATGTGTGTTGTAAAACCTGTCTAAAAAGTGTCCCATCGGTGGTCTTGATATACAGGTTTGACTGTATTACCAACGCGAATACAATTTCTGTTTGCCAATAGAGGTAAGGCTCGTTCATTAATCCGTTTTTTTTCTTCAAATCCCTATTCTTTTTACCCACAGACAAGGGAAAAGGCGACAAGAATGTCGAAGCGGCTATCATCCAGAAACTGGACAGCCAAGTGTTGGAGGAGGATAACAGAATATTGAAAGTGATCGAGGCCTACTGCACAAGCGCCGGCTCCCGTAATGCCAGCAACTCAGGTAGACCCCCACCTTCTTCTATCCTTATTTCCCCCCTTTTTTGTGTGTTGAAGCTCTTGGGTGCGGGGTTGATGCAGGTTCTGTAAGTTTTCAGGTTTTCTGGTTGTGTGATGAATGGTGATGTTTTCTCCGGGCCTCATTTTGTTTAATGGCCTAGGTTAGAGTGTGATTAGGTTTTAGGTTAGATTTAGAAAATCGCCAGTCTGGTGTTGGAGATAGATGACAGAATATTGAAAGTGATCGAGGCCTGCTTCACTAGTGCCGGCTCCCGTAATGTCAGCAACTCAAGAAGAGCCTATCCCCGACCTGGATGCTCTGTGGTGCAGGGTTCGTACAGGTTTTTGTGTCGTGGTCGAGTGGTTTAAGGCGCTTGACTGGAAATGCGAAGGTCGAGGGTTCGAATCCCGACACGGCACTAATATCCTTTGGCAAGATATTAACCTGCACTTGCTACTCTTCACCCAGGTGTCAAATGGGTACCCGGTAGGATGCGACCGTCTTTGTTGGTCAAACAGTTTTTGAGCGTCAAGTAACGCCTGGCTGGAATGCTCCCCAGGGAGTGGAGATTGTGCACACAGTGTGTGCGAGTGAGCACTGAATCCAATGACCGGGGTAATAGTATATTTTTAAAGCGCTTAGAGACATTTGTATTAAGCACTATATAAAAGCTAAATATTATTATTATTATTTTGTAGGTTTTCAGGTTTTCTGGTAGTAGAAGGGTGACATTCATTCCGTCAAAGATCTAACGTTAGGGTTGCAATCAGTCCCTCCTTTGAGAACACTAATCATATTGTCTCTGAAGCGAGAGGCAGAAAAGTGCTAACTCATGTATTTGAAACTGTATTTACATGTATGCCCTTCTAACTGTCAGCAGATTGTACGAAGCTGGTATCAGTTATGTAGTTAGAGTCCCTATGTAACTAAGCTGCATTCTCTATACATGTAATACAGTTCAATGTAAACAAGTATGATTTTAAGTTGATATTATAGACACAGATTAGAACCTTTCTTTTTCCAAGTAGACAACATTAGGTTGTAACCGCCTTCCCCTACTTCCTTATTTAAAGTGTACAAATTAATTACCTTAACAAATAACTTCACAGCTACAATGTGTAAAATCAACTTTAAAAATGTCACCCGTTTTAATTAATATGAATAAAATAAGGAGTACGTTCGCGCACAGAACCCAAGTTGGACTTAAGTTTGTGTACAGGCCTTTTTCTGAGCGAGCACATACATGGTCATCACCAGTTGCTTTTATTATTTGAGAGTTAATTTAAAGCCCCACTCCACTACTTACATGTATAAGCTACTTGCGCCTGTTGGTTCCCATGGTCCCCTTTTGCTTATGTTAATTGAGAGCTGATTTGATGAGATAACCACCTGTCGGTAACCTTGTAGGGAGGTCTAATCCCCTGGCCAAACTAGTGCAGATAGGCTTTAAACCTTGCAATATTTCTTTTAAAAATTAATTTGATTTGGAGCTCATATCTTGAAAGTAGTATACCAAAATGGAACCCCAATTAATCAGAGCAACTATTTCCTTGTTATATATGACTTGTTCATTATTACTGCTGGATAACATAAGCTGGATATATCTTTTCGTCATTTGGTTGACTCATAAATCAGATTTATAACCGCGTTGATTACCATATCAATTTTAAGTTTGAAGTAGATTCAAGAACAAAATAGGATATGACAGGATGGGGAAAATGTTAATCATCTCCTGATATTTAATTCATTAGAACATGTCGTAATTCATGAATGTTGCTGTAGAGCAGGGATGAAACCATTAATGGTTTGTTTATGGTTTTCAGATTAAATTCAAGTGCCTATTTCCTGCTATTTTGCATGGCAAGTGCACAGATTAATATCACTTTTCAATTTGGCATGGTTTCATTTCACAAAACATACAAGCAGGCTTCTCCAGCTGGAATTTGTTTAAAGGGATAGTTGAGTTCTGTTGCAGAGGGCGCTACACAAAATAATTTTTTGTGAGGTAATGAAAAACTGAGTGTCAAATTTGAAAGAACATAATATTTAAATGACAAAATCATCTTTGTTTGATCAAAATCGGTTCAGAGACGGCTGAAATATAACGATTTCTAATACTTTTGTACCACCACAAATATTAGATATTTTGAAAAATTGGAAATAACCGTTGAAAACAACGAAATAACGCCTTTTACGTCGTATTTTAAGCCAATGCCGATGTTGGCTTTTTTGTTGGCATTTTCGTGTTGCTTATATTACCCACAATTAGCCGGCTCATGTATCGTTATTTTTAATTAAATAATTAATTTACGGTCACCATGTTTTTTTTAAAGTGGAGCTGACTCTGGTATGATCGTATTAGCTTAATTTCACACATTTTGGGGTCTAAAATTAACTTTATAGCAGTTTCAGGTTCTAAAAGGGCACTATAAATGTCATAAATAAGTATAAGAGCAATAACCATGCACTTTGAAGGCATTTGCGGTCTGAAAACAGAACTCAACTATCCCTTTAACCAATTGAGTGAAATATAGCCTTTTAGCATGTCGGGATTGAGGATCAGAAGGTTTGTGATTCAAGTCCTTCTTCAGCACGGATGTCCTTTGCCAAGACATTAATCTGCATTTGCCACTCACCATCCAGGTGTAGGTGATAGGAAGCAAAACTTGAATGGCTACAGTGCCTCGCCTGTGGGCAGCTTGGCTAATGCCAGGGCCCAGTAGTAACATACAGTCAAACCTGCTTTAGTGACCACCTGTCTACAAAGACCACATTTTTTGTTTCCGTTGAAAATGGTTTCTCATTGAAACATGTACTAAAGAAACCTGTCTACAAAGACCACCTGTCTACTCGGACCGCTTTTTGTGTCTCCCTTGGGCGGTTGCTATAGACAGGTTTAACTGTAGTAGGCCTTTGTAGGCACCTCAAGCACCCTTGGGATGGAGAAGTATTTGATGTAAATGCAGACATTATTGGTGTTAATCTTAAGTCCTGGAAGACGAATTGTTTTGAATCTAGAGTACTCCATTTAATCAGTTAGTGGTTCTTAATCGTTATTTCGATCATTAAATTGCAAGTAAAACTTTGTAAAAATATTAACATTCACTCAAACTGAAAAATTTCTCAACATAGAAATGCTTGTATTGTCTGTTCGGAGCCAGAAGGGCATTATCTCTGTGCGTTATGAGTTAACATTATTTCGGCTCAAACCAGATGACATGGCACACAATCATAACTTGTTAAAGTATGCCTCCTCGCAAATGTCTGTGCATAATCATTAGCTAATGTTCGCATTATAAGAAATGTTATCAATTAATTGTCATTTTGTAAACATTAAGTGTATAAATTTAATGGCAATTTAGGTCAAGACATATTAGATAAATGGATATTTACTTGTCACTAATTAATACAGGTTTTTGTGTGAATAGTGGTTGGTATTAGAGTACAATTGTGGCATGAAGAAAGTGATTTGATGTGATATTAACACCCCCCCCCCCTTGCTTTGCTTCATTCTGTGTTTCCTCAGTAATCACAAGTTAACCATTCTTTTCCCTTCTCATTCATGGATTATCACTAACCTTAATTACCTGCTCCCCCTTTTCCATGCTCAAACCATTATAAACAACCCCCTCTATTGACAAACATGTGTACATGTCTGTGCCAGCTCTCAAGGCATGGCTTTGCTGTCATTTTTTGTTATAGTTTTATGTGATGGTTTAATCATTTCCTTCTCTCCTATTTCCTATCTGTTTCACAAGTTAAGAAAAGAAGATCAGAAATATATACGCTCTTATATCTATAAAAAATTATTGTAACTCTGCGTTACTTGGTTGAGGGTTAAAATGCAGGTACATGTATTTACTTGGAGTGATATTTTAGGAAAGGGCATAAAATAAGTATTACTGCTGCTAATACGCAAAGGGGGTATTTTCTATATGAAATTACATGGTGTATGTAAAAGAGCTGTATGATATAGCTTCAGTTGCTGGAATCATGGAAAATGTCACAGTTTTTTATTTGTTATACTGTCTGACTTTCATCTTTTTTTGTTTTGATAGGCATTCTGTAGCAAAGGTGATGGGGTATTAAAGTTCCTTTCATGATTTCAATTACTAACGTGAATTTACTGAAAAGCAGGGTCATATTTCAGTTCTTTTTCTCTCCCTGTTTACCGTTCGATTCATAGAAAATGCTTTTTCATACCAAGTGACTTTTTGTCATGTGATAAACTTAAGGTTTTGATAGATTTTCTTTTTTATCAAAAGACACGATTCTTTTCAAGCACTTTTGAAGTGATCTTTCTTAAATTTTGAACGGAAAGCATTCTAACATTGTCACACCCACCCACCGACTCCTTCCCCCTTCAAGTTTTCTGTTTATTCATTATTTTTTTTTATTTTCAATTTATTTTCGATTTTCTCTTCTCCTCCACCACCCTGTTACCATGGCAATAGTTCCCTTGGAGGCGGCGCCTCACGTGTTTCTGGCCGAGGATGAGAAGATAATGGTGGAGGAGACAAAAGGAAGCGAGACGGTAGTAGAAGAAAAGTGAGTCCCGACGATCTCTTTTTTTTTTTTAAATCTTCACATCATTTTTGACCCCTTCTAATATTCTTATCTTTTAGTTAGTTTTTTAATCAACTTCAAAACCACCTTTTGCTTTCTGATTTGCACCTTCACTTCCTAAGCCGTAACACAATTATCTTCACCTTTTCCTTCCCCATCTCATATTCTTATATTTGGTGGTAGCTATTTACCTCTAATCTTTGAAGTAAATAAAATTTTATTCTTGAAAATCATATTAAGAATGAAAAAAAAATGTCTTCTTTTTCTTCCCCAGACTCCCCCTTTTTACATTTAGATTTCCATGCTCTTTCTCACTTTGCAACAAAACCATTTCATTTTAGAAAATCAATTTCAGAATCATTTTTGTATTCTTATATGCACTTCAATTCTCTCTTTTTAATAGCTAATATTCATATTCATATTCATGTGAAATTATTCATGACGCACAAGTAGCAGACATCCCCCCCCCTCCTCTTTTCCTTGGTATTATTTTCTACGGTAGTGTAATTTCTCTTTATGTTCTCTGACTTATCATTGTTATTTCTTCATTTGTTATCATCACTCATGCATATACCCAATATCATGAACATTATCAAGATCATTGTGATATTTATGGTTATCGTTTCATCATGTACTGTATGCAAAATATTCGCCTTTTCTTCAATATTCCAATATACTTCTAAAATGAATAAATTCAAATTTGTATTATTCAAATTCGTATTATTTGCTTTGAAGTGGAGGAAAAAGGCTACATGTATGCATCATGTTTGCAAAATATTAATGAATGAAACATTTTTATTTTTGTATAAATATGCAGCAAAAATTGTTAACAGGTCAATTTAATGACATGGCTAGAACATTTCTAATTAATTTTGTATTCAAAGACTGAAAATGTGGAAAATTAAACAAAATTTCTGAGAGAACGTTTTACACTATATATTCAATAACATTTGTGATCTCAATGTTCTCATGATTGTATGTATTTTATAAATGTACCTGTACGTACATTATATCATTGCTATAACGATCCTTGGTGTGTTGTTTTGTATTCGTAAACATGTATATGTCACATCTGCCTCCCCCCACTCCTGACAAAGTCTTTTATTACAAACTAGTATTGCTTTATTAACCCACTATTGCCCAGCTGCCACAGCAATGCTACTAACAAACTTTCAAAAGCTAATCCCTGATGCCGAAAAGTTATACTTTCTTTGTTACATGTGTTTTAAAAAAATGCTACTTTCGCAATTTTAACAGCTTGTGTTTTATTACTAATGCCACTCGTATCTTTTCAAAAACCAACCATTGCTGAGCGATGTTATTTTTTTAACTCTAAAAGGCTGAGAAATCTCAGAACATGGTCAATGGTTCATAGTCCCAAATTGTTCACAAAGAAAATCTTGACAAAAATGGCAGCTTAACAGTTCTACATTGCTTTCTAGATTCCTTTGATTTACATGATCGTTAAACAGTTCAAATTAGAGGGGCCAAGTTAAATCATTGTTAATGTAATGTAAAGAAGAAAAAAAAAGTGTTTATGTGTTAATAAAGGATGCATAACATATCCTATGGCAACATCATGTCATGTTCTAACAAAACCAACTTGCAGAATGTTGTGTGGCTGTATAATAAATGTATACATGTATGTATGTACTTACTCAATCCTATGTTCATATTTGATCATAATATCATCTATATCTCCTCTGTGTATTGTCTCTCTGTATGATTAATTAACTTGATTTATCTCTCTCCCCCTTTTTGGCTTTCTGTCATCTCTTTTTTCTGCACCGTGCCCCCTCCCCCCCCCCCCCCCCATCACCGGAACAAAACTATATCATCTGCCCTTCCTCCATCTGTGACCCCCCCCCCCCCAAAAAAAAAAATAAATAAATAAAAAAAAATCAATTTGCCCTTTGATCGTATGGTATGGTTTGATGTGGCGTAGACCCCCGAAACTGTGGCCCATTCACCAGATGAAAAAAATGACGGCCTATAAGCTGAGTGGGGGGCTGAGTGCGTTGAACGGGGTGCTGAGAGTGTAGCGCCCCCTCCCTTTCTTCGGTAAGGCTTGCTCGACTCGTTGTATGGCTCCCCCACTCCCTATCCTTTCCTTGTGCAGAATGACGAAGTGCGTTTTGTCTCCTCCTTGCTCGCTGTTTTGTGAATGCCTTGTCGTTTGGTGATCCTGTAGATTCTGATGTATAACGGAGAGAAGCATGTTACATCGATGTCCTTGGGTGGTATTCTTGAAAGCAGACTAACTTTAGTCCATGGTTTAATCCACCGACTAAGTATTGGAATGCCAAGTGTCCATATGAGTATGTTTTTGAATAATTTAAACTGTCACTAAATTAAAATAAAATGTACTGGTAATATTATATTCAATAAACAAAAATATAACTGATATAATTATGTTATCATGATAATTTAGGGACATATCAAATTATTCAAAAATATATTCATATGGACACTTGGCATTCCATACTTAGTTGGAGGATTAAACCATGGACTAGTTAGTTCGCTTTCGAGAATATCACCAGTTCATACGCTGCATTGTTCAGGTTATGGTCAGGGTTAGCGTTGGTGCATTCTCTCATGTTCACATCAGTATCTATGGGATAACCTGTCACTTAGTTGTGCAAGATTGTTTGTTGACTATTCTTTTTGCATGCTTTCACTGCAAGTCGCAAACACTCGCATCGTGTGATAAATTTTGTAAAGATTGTTTGCATGCTTACCGAAGGACCAGTATTGCATCCTTGCATTCACATCTGCGAGTAAAGGATCATCTTCTTTATATCAAGTTGACATCAATTCCGCTCTCAGTAGACAATATGCTGTGTGACATGAATTTATGTTGAATTCATGAACATAAGAGGGAAAAGAGCCCAACCCCATCAAAATACTTTGTGAGTTATAAAGAATAAAAGTGTATATTATAAAAGGCTTCCTAGAGATTAAAACATCCTTTCTTTAAATATCGTTCTTTTTCTCTTTGTAAATGACTCAAAATCTATTTGATGGAGTTGGAATCTTCTTACTCAAGTTGCCTTGTCTAGAAGGCCCTTTAATTGCTTATTTATTTGCATTGTTTATAGAAAGCAAAAGTAGCCTGGAAATATGCCCACTTTTCCCCACTCAATGTCATGTAAATAGCCTTATCTTCTGCATGTTATTGTTCTTTGTATTTAATGCACTTTCAACAAGTTTTTCCTGTGATTTCTTTTTTATAGAACCTATTTAATTTAGTTTTGATATACGATTAATGCAAGGGTCTTGGATAATAGGACAATGCCTTGATTTATCATTACATTAAACCAATCGAAAGTGACAGCCTTTTCCATTTTCTGTTCATAATTTTGCTTAATGTATTCCATCAAATTGTTTATATCCAGTACACAGGGGCACATCCAAAAAGAAAATTTAATAAGTACCCCCCCCCCAAAAAAAAAGGGGGGGGGGGTGTATTGACCCTAGTGATCTCCTGGATTATACCTTAATTATGAGGTAATAGTCCTGTAGATGAGTCACACCTTTATAGACACTTAGACAGCGTAGAAGTAATACAGAAAACTTTCATTGGTTGGGATAATTATAACATGTAGTTTAAGCTTCTACAAACCTTAAAGCTCGCCTTCTAAATGTTAAGGTTGGTAGAACCTTAAACTACATGTTACAGCATGGAAGTGTTTTCATATAATGTACTCAAATATCCAGAATTTCCTATCATTAATATGAAGCAACAACTACAAAAATACAAAAATAGGGGAGAGGGTCCAGACCCCCATGAACACCCCCCCCCCCCCCCCCAGTATGCCCCTGAGTACACTTATGCGATACGATACTCTTGTAGACCAGTATCAGTTAAAAAGTCATTAAGTGTGCTTGTAATATACTTGGTTATCTACCGGTACTTGACTTTCCTAAGAAAAAATTGCCCTAATGTCTTGACAAGCCCCCCCAAATTGGGGAGAGATGGTCCAGATCCCCCTCCCCCACCCCCAATTTGCCTCTGAGTAAATTAAGAACTCTTTTAGTTTGCTTGTATATTGTATGCATGTCAGTTTCTGAGCAAACTGCCTTCTTATAAAAAATGACCAAAACAGGCAAGCATTCAAGAATAGCTGTACATTGACATCGTTGACCTTTATTTGCTCGCTCTGAGACAAACAAGCCAGATTTATTTTTATCCATTCTAGACGTTCTTCCCAGTACTTTGCTTTTTCCAGCTGTTTTGATTGTTCCAACTCTTTTGGCTTTCCGCTGCATTAGTCCTTCAGATTCTAATTTGTACTACAATAATTGCAGAATCTTGGAGTATAGAAAAAATAGTGAGGTGAAATGATTTAAGTGACCAGCCAAGAAGTCCTGCTTACACCTTTTTTGCTTGTATGCAAATATATTTTGTATATTGTGTTCTCTGAGAGCCAGGACAGTTTTCTTGAGGAAAGCAAATAAAGCAATGTAGCTGGAAAACTAAGAATAAATGAATTTAAATGATAATAAAATACAAACCACAAACTATTTTGTAGGTGATTGCTACACTTTAAATTTAGGGAGAAAAAAATTTACCCTCTCCCCTCCAATCATTAATTTCCCTTCTGTTGATTTTTCCCAAATATGGGTTTTCCTCCCAGACATTCATGAAATAACCAAACATTGCTATGTTCAAGAGATTCTAAAAGATTTGCACTCGGAAATGTAAGATAATTCAACGTCCTGTGTAGCTGTAAGATATATGTGGCATGACCTTAAATAGGATATACTGCCCCCCCCCAAAAAAAAAACAAAATTATTGTGAAATAATAGTTTTTCAAGTTTGCAATAATACATTTTGAAGCTCAAAATCTAATCTGATTGTGAATTCAATTAGTCCAAATCTAATTAAGAGAATCCTTGATATGTCATACTAAAAATTGGCAACTCTACAATGTCGAATGCAAGCATTGAAATTTGAATTCATTTATGAAGTAATTAATTTATTTGTTCATATTTTTGTTTGTTCTTCTGATTATTCTTATTCTATTAATTATCATTATCATTAGTAGCAGTAGTAGTACTACTAGTAGTCGTAGTAGTAGGAGTAGAAGTAGTGATCTTTATAAAAAGGTTTTACTCCACTTGATTTACAAGACCAGATTGCTTGCTCCCTTGAAAAGTGTTTTTCATTAATACCTGTGCGAAGGTAATCTTACATGTACATACAGACTACCTTCTCATAACTACCACTTGTTAACAAATATCGCCCTTGTGTGGTCTGTACATACAGGTTTCACTGTAATTGATTGGCTGAACTTGAGAACAGTCATGTTTCCTGTCTAATGTTCCCATGCTTCTCAACCAATTTAACATTCTCTAATTGATGTCTAGAACCTCAATGCCCTGCTATTTGTTTTCCACTTTAGAGCCCCACTGCACTACTTATAGCTACTTGCGCCCTCTATATAGCAAACAATGCCTAAGCGGTACCCCATGACCCCCTTTTTCTTATGTTAATTGAGAGCTGATTTGATGAGATAACCACCTGTCCGTGGCCATGCAGGGAGATTTAATCCCTCCTGGCCAAACTAGTGCAGAGGGACTTTAAAGGCAGGGTGATCTACTGACACTACTTTAGATTTACACATACAGTACTGCTTGAATGAATGTTACAAATAGATGTTATGAATGATAAGATAACACAATAACACCCCTTCTCCCCCCCCCCCCCCCCCCCCCCCAGCAAAACAAATTACCTACACTGTACATAAAGAAAACTTTTTTTAAATGTGAACAAAAAACAAAACAAAGTAATAACATTTTATTCCAGCACCTTATTTTAGCACACTAATCAATCTTTGCTATACTTAGGTACATTTCATTGTTGTAATGATAGGATGGATTTATGCATTATGGACCTATAAAAGCCAGAAATAATATGTAAATGTACATTTTACTAATATAAGTAAAGAAAAGAGAAAATGCACATGTCCTGCCAACAAATTTCCTGGACTTGTCGTTTTCAAAACCTCCTAATGAAAGTAATTATGTGCTGAATTTTATTGCATCACTTCATGATCTTAGTACTTGTATCATTTTATTCTGTTTATCACATCATATGGATATGTTTACTAGACTTCTGAAACTGCATCTGCATGCAATTTCTTTTCATCCAATGTTTATCATTTGCCTCATATGCAACTTTCATTTTCTAGTGAATATGTTAATTATTTGTCTTGCTTGCAAATTCTTTTACAAGCAAATTTCTATTTATCATCCTGTTAAAGCATGTCCCTTGTTTCAGCTCGGCATCATGACTGTTTTGATATCTTGCATTTTGAACAATTAAAGTTATGAATGTATTGCATAGGAGTTATTAGGCTGAAGCATGGTTGAGATTATACACAGATTATGTTTAAAAAACAACTAGAAATCAGTATGAAGATAAATGTATGAATGTAAGCTATAAATGAACATATTATTATTTAGACTATTCTTTCTCTAACATATGTTTATAATTACTCAATAAATGTTTAGACTTTGTAGCATTCATAATGTAGCTATGCCATACCAGTTGCAGATTGATTTAGAAGGGGCAAAACTGGTCTGTATATGCGAGCCCCAGGCAATTTTTGCCGGGAGTTTTTGCAATTCAGTGTGATTCCTAGTGAAAATTGTCACTAATTCACATTTCCCCTGAAACTTTGAGTCTGCGACTAGTCCCAAGCTGTCGCAGCCCAGTGAGATACTAGCTTGATTAGCTAGGTGTGGTGTCGCAGCTAGGTTTAGTGTTTGGTCCAGGGTTAAATTTAGGAATTCGGATAGTACAGGATAGTTTCCTAGGAGCAATCATTCACCATTTTGTTCTCATCTTTTTCACCCCAGAACCCTTGTAGATACCGTCTACGCCCTCCGAGACCAAGTCAAGGACCTCATGGATGAAACCAAACGACTCAAATGCGATCTGGACGATGAGCGCAAAGCCCGGCGGCGGCTCGAGACTTCCGTTAGGCACTCCATCGCAAAATACGACAAGGAGGAGACGAACTTATGACATGGGCAGTCTGTGACGTGTCTCTGATCTCCTTCCCTTATGTTTCATCTATACCATCTATTTTTTTTTTCTTTTCATGTACACATCACGTTATTGCTTGACGTTCGAAAAAAACACTCCACCGCGAAATATGGCAAGTTTATAGACAAGACAGAATTACGATGAGGGCGACCTTTAACATTTGTCCAATCTCCTTCACGTGTGGTTGATACGGTCTACTTTAATTTCGCATCATCATATCAGTTCTCCAATGCTCAAGACATCCAAAGACACTCCAGCGCAAAGTACGGCAAGTTTTACTCAACAAACTTTTGACACGAGCGGTTAATGGTGCATCTTTGATCTCCTTCCACTTTGATTTGATACCGTTTTTTGTTGTCTGCGTACACATCAAATTAACTCTTTTAGAGATGTTCGTAAGACACTCAATCGCAAAATACGACAAGTTCGACGAGACAATCCAATGATTCATCGAAATCCATCGTTCAAGGCTTTGATCGGGACTCTATAAAATATGACGAGACATGTGTAGTCTTCAACATTTCTCTGATTCCTTTCGTTTTGTGCTTTGGTGCGGTCTTCTTCTTACGTTTTCGTCTTGTACACATCAAACCGCCATTGTTCATGTTATTTAGTGACGACTCACAACAGACAATACACATGAATGTTTTGTATAATACTCGTAGCAGCTCGGAAACTACTTGCTTATCATATTTGCCACTCTAAGTTAATGTGCACTTTCTTTAATTTTACTCACGTGCAAGGAAAAATAGGGAAACTGTATTTAATGCGTCACACACTTGTTTATAATGTTCACAATATTTTGTTAGCTGTCTGATATAAGCCTGCAATTCCGTGAATTGTTGATGCATTTATATATCGTCTGGTCGGGAACAGAAGGGCATTGGCCTTTCATGGAGTTAACGCCCTTCTGGCTCTCAGCAGACAACATGACATGAACAGAATTACTTGGCGTACCCAAGCTTATGTGCAACATTTTAATTTTCAAAGGTCACATGAAGCTCAATGAGCATCATTTTTATCCATTCAGATGCGAAAAGTTGTTAACTCTGTCTGAAAGGATACACGTACGTGGTAGTTGCCCTGCCGACTCTGGCTATCGGCAGACTAATATTGGAAGCCTAGCAGCGAAAAATGCTTTTCCAACCACAGTTTTTCAGTTTAGAAGGGTCCAACACATCGACCTGTCTCTAATAAGCAACCCAAATTTTTCCAATTTGTCATTTTCTAATTGAGCAAACCAGGGATCTATTGGAATATCTTTATTCTTTTTCATTTTCTTTGTTATTTTAATATTGTTATACTCTTCAAGGCAAACATCAATTTTTTTTGTAAAGTCCCGCCTCACAATACTAACAAAGTTTTTTGTGAGAGAGTGCACTCGTGCAGACTTGTAGAAACTCCTCTGAATGGACATAGGCAAAGAGACAATTTGAAACAAGATAGACAAAGAGAGACGATTTTGAAACGAGAAAGTGCATCTTACCGAAATGCTAGATATATTTCCATATTTACTTGATGAATAATAGTTAACAATTGCCAAATTCTCTCTTTGCTATGCCATTTATGCAGTATCTGTGTTCAGTATGAGTCTGCCTTGTCAAGCACTATAATTATATTCCTCCTCCCTTTCTATCCCTCTGATAGGATCTTAAGCCGTAGGTTCCTTGGTTACTCAAGCATTTTCTTCTTCAAAACCGACGAATCAAAAGCCTTTTCTTTACAAATAGTGTTACTAAACAAGACTGAATAATAGTCAAATGGCCACCAAAAAAGAAAAACTGTTCTATGTTATTAATGATTAACAAGTTTGAAAGATGTACATGTACAGTTAAGACGTCTTTGTCTTTTTCTTAAAACAAAATTGATTACACAGAAAGTGCCGTATTTTATGGAGGCCAGATCGTAGCTACGTTTTGCAGGAAAGTTGCCCTAAAGCCTGGATGCTCTTTGTAACTCAGTCATAATTTTTCTTAATTTTATGAGATATATTTTGTATTTATACAGACTCTAAGGGTACTTGTTGGTAAAAGACAGTTTCTGATTTCAATTGTTCTTTATTAAGATACTTAGAATATATAAAGTTTATAATATGATTGATTTCAAATGTGTTGGACATGACATGTTACATCTGTGCAGAACAGCGAAACGCTCAACCATTCTTCACTTATCAGCAAGACTTGTTCAGTTGTACTGTACTATATTTACGTCATTTTGTACGTTTCTCTCGCAACGAGGGAAAAGAGTGGGCCTGTAAAATATTAGCATGCCCACCAATGGTTTGTATAAAGAGAAAAGGAAAATAGTAATTTTTTTATATTAATAGATACTACAAAGCATTGTGTTTTAGAACACTAACCTTTAAGAAATTTAATCTTGAGCCCTGTTCGACCTGGCGCAGTAAACCATCTCAAAACGTATAAATTAATCTGTGAAAATGAATGACTAGTTGGGTGAAGAAACTGATGTGGGGGTGCCATGGTATAGTGGTTCATTCACTTGACCCTTAATCTAAGGGTTGAGGGTTCAAAACCCAGCCCGGCACTTATGTCCTGTAGCAAGGCATTAATCCTAATTTGCCACTCTCCACCCATGTGTGAAATGGGCGCCTGGCGATTAATAGCTGAGGTAATGATAATTGCAGAGCCTGCAGGAAAATTATACCAATCATGTTGCTTGCCTGGGTTAACAAGATCAAACGTATGTACACTTAATAAGCATGCAACAAAGCCCCAATTGTTGTACCTTCATCTCTTTTAAAATAAAGAGATATATGAGAAGCAGTAGACTAGTGTCATGAGAGTATATGATCACCCCCCCCCCCCCCCCTCTTCCCCCCCCCCCATTCTCACTTCTTTTTTTTTAAAGATGGTTTACCGTGCTGGGTCTGAACAGGGCCTCATTGGGCAAGATGCATAGTACTGGAATGTTAATTCTTGTGACATAATAATATGATATGTATATAGAACATTAAATTTCAGCTCCTACACTTATATAAACTTAGATTGATTTATTCGTGACATTTTTAAGGGTATACTTTTGTATCATGTATGTATGTGAAGATTAATATTTCATACATACTTTTTGTTCAGAAATGGGAATTTTCTTTTGTGTTAGATCTTTCTTCGTAGTCGTTACTTCTATTTCACATTTGTGGTCAAGTTTTCTTACAACTGGAAGTTGTGTGGCTCAGTTAATCATTTTCGGACGCAAATTGGCTTCATATGAGCATGAAATATTACTGATACTTCAAAAGCTTCTCAATTTCAAGGAGTTGGTTAAGATAATCTACGCTAGATATTTTTCTACATAATTATATGAGGTATTATGTACGATTCTTTGAGACAGCAAAAACGTAAAAACTGGGATGGATATTGTGCTTTAAATGTTGTGCAGCATCTGAGGAAGTTAAGAAAATTTCATCGTTACCCCTCTAACTGCTGTATTCTCTTATTCCTGTAGGTTTAAAGGGGAAGGAAACCCTGATACAAACCTGGTTTTAATAGAAGCAGAAAAGTATGAGAAACAGATCAGTAAAAGTTTGAGCCAGATCCGAATATATATAAGAAAGTTAGGATGTTTTGAAGTTGCAATCGATTAAACACAAATTGGCAACTTTGTGACGGATCATACAAGGTCCTCTCCCACAGGGACTCGGTTTAAAAACGTCCTTTTCAAGGGACAGATGAATACGAGCCATATACTTTTGGTGGTTCACAAACACAGTGAAGAAACAAAAATAAGAAATGCTCCCGCCATTATTCACTACTATATCTACTCTCTTGTAAATGGATAAGTGACATACAAGTCAATTAAGAATCCTCCTAATTTCTTATGAATACTATAGTATTTTATTTACCTTTTATATTTTTAACTCGTCTTGTTTTTTCTGCGATCATATTTAAAATGCTAGATGAAGTTCTTTAATTTCTTGTAAGTTATCTACACTGGAGGAGCCTGAAATTTCGTGAGAATTTATATAATATGCTCTTAATAAGTGTTTATTATCTATATTGTGCATTTAGACGATGAGAATAAAGTATTGCACACCACAGGTTATCAGTGAAATAAAACATGCAAAAATAAGATTTTGTGATGCCTGTCTTGGGTTTTTTTTCTTCTTGAGATTAGAGAAAAGTAGAAAAAAGATTACATGTGCAAGTAAAATAGAGAGAGAGGAGGGAGGGGGTGGGAGAAAATAAGAAGTGACGTAGAAACGGTGTGTGCGAAAGAGAGGGAAAAGAAAGTGAAGAAAAGGTGACCGAGAGAGAAAGAAGGAAAACAAAAGGAGAGCGCGAAAAGAAGAAGAAAAAAAGAGAGCGTGGATATAAAACGTTCGGTGTACGTGGGTGTGTGAAAATGAATGTGAGGGGAATTAGGGTGAAATAATTATGGCCGGGAAGCGTTATTTTTTTCTGAGGCACAGATTGGGGTTAGGTGCGTGTTGAGCCTATGGGAAAGTTTAGGTTTAGGGTGAGGGTTAAATCAAGCCCTCTTTTTTTTTTTTTAAACCCCAATGTTTGCCGCAGAAGAAAATAACGCGGCCGGGAAAGGGTGAAACAGATATCTATTAAGAGAGAGGGAGAGAGAGAGAGAGAGAAAGAGAGAGAAAGAGAGAGAGGTGGGATTGAGAGTGTGTGAAAGAGGAGGAGTATAAAGTCAAACTGACAGAAAGACTGGAAACAATGCTAACAAAAGAGGAGTGGTCTGAAATCATATTTCATAATTTAATTAAAATGACTCGTTATCTAGAAAAAAAATTGTGAAACGCGCCAAGAATTCTCCATTCTTACTCCTTACGACTCATTAAAATCATATTTGACCTTTCTGTTCTAGATAAGCAAGAGAAGAACAAGTACAGATTTTTTTACCTACAGACTTATCTTGACTCCCGCCCAAAATCGTGGCTCCACAAGGCCTTTTAGGGGTATTGAATAACGCGCTGTCCAACAAAATATTGCTCATGTTCAAGTACAAGTTTATTTGTCTTTCTTCCAACATGAATGTAATACAATTTAACAAATTTATTTATAACATGTAGAGTATAATTATGAAAGGAACACTTATGAGGATCAAGTTCAAATATTGCATTTAAGTGAGGAAACAAAAGAAGCAAAGACGAGGAGACCTACTTAAAGCTTAGCTTGTAGAGGTCAGGTCCCTCAAAACAATAACATATAGACAGCAACAACAAAAACAGCCTGGTTATATAATAGAATAATAAAAGAAATGTTTGCCAAAGGCGCTAAAAAGTATTAAGACAAATAACTATCAACTATAACCATGTGATTATAAAAACCAGTGGCGGATTTAGGGGGCATAGGGGGCACGTGCCCCCCCCCCCCGGTAAAAAAAAAATGGGGAAGGGGGTAAAAGAAAAAGGGAGAAAAAGGAGGGGGAAAGAAAAAGGCCGGAGAAAAGAAAGAAAAGAGAAGAGGAAGAAAAGAGAAGAGGAAGAAAAGAGGGAGGAGAGAAAAGGGAGGGGAAAGGAAGAAAGCGGAAGAGAGAGCAGAGAAAAAGCGGACAAGGCAAAGGGGGATGATATTATTAGAAGGTGTTTTTTTTACCGGGAAAGGGGCGGGGGGCACGCAATTTTGCATTGTGCATTATATGGGGTCTCTCTTGCCAGGCGTGTAGCCCGCCCCCCCCCCCAAAAAAAAGATCTTCCTGAAAGAGAATTAAACAACGATAGAAGAGAGGTGCGAGAACATGAGGAAGTGCATTTCTTTTAAAAGAATAATGGGATAACAACCAGGGGCGTCGCTAAAGGGGGGGGGGGGGGTGTGGGGGTGGGGTGAGGTGAAAAACTGAATTCAGACAAGGATTAAGAAACGAAAACAGTACAACGGATCGTCTTCTTTCTCTAATAATCAAATGAAACGTGAAAGCCTCCGCGCTTCGCGCGGGAGGGGGGAGGGGGAGATAACTTAATTCAGACAAGGATTAAGTGAGAACGGTACAACAAATCGTCTTCTTTCTTTCTAATAATTTAATGAAACGTGAAAGCTTCCGCGCTTCGAGAGAGTTTTTTTTTCCAGGAGGTGGCGGTGGACATTATTCTACCAAATGTGGTTCTCAAATTGCAATAGATCCCTACTCTTGGAGAGGGGAGGAGAAAGCAATTTACGTCATATTACTCCAGGAAGTGCCTGAAAATGCGCCTAATTTGGTTCTAAAATTGCAAATGCTTCCCAGACCCACCCCCGCTTGGTCGCTCCGCTCCCGGGCCCTGGTGACGCCTCGCCCTGTCGCTTCGCCCATTTATTTTTCATGTATTTCACCCCAAGCGATTTTGTGCCCCCCCCCCCCTCCGGTAAGAAATTCCCGGACTCGCCACTGAACATGTTAGGTCCATGGTTAAACTGAGTAATAAAAAAGGTGGAGAGAAGAGACTATGTACAAAAGGGGCGATAAGAGTGATAATAAACGTGGGATATAGAAATGGAGAGAGGGGGCGGGAGAGGAGAGAGAGAGAGAGAGAGAGAGAGAGAGAGAGAGAGGGGGGGGGGGGGGGGGGTGTCGTGGTCGAGTGGTTTAAGGCGCTTGACTGGAGATGCGAAGGTCGAGGGTTCGAATTCCGACATGGCACTAATCCTTTGGCAAGATATTAACCTGCAGTTGCTCCTATCCACACAGGTGTTAAATGGGTACCGGTAGGATGCGACCGTCATTGTTGGTCTCACAGTTTTTGAGCGTCAAGTAACACCTGGCTGGAATGCTCCCCATGGAGTGGAGATTTTGCACAACGTGTGTGCGGGCAAGCACTGAATCCAATGACCGGGATAAAAGTATATTTGTAAGGCGCTTAGAGACATTTGTAATAATCGCTATATAAAGCTTGAATATTATTGTTATTATCATTATTATTAGAGAGAGAGAGAGAGAGAGAGGGGGGGGGGGGGGGAGAGAAAAGTGGACATACTTTCACTGTAAGCTGAAAGCTAGCTACATGCGAGAAAACGAGAACGGAAAAGGAAAATGTAAGTCGGCAGTTGCTATACAGTAGTAAATTGAGGAATGTATTAAGTTCAAATATAAATCACGACAGCATATATTAAGAATCAACTAAGTAATTTAATTTATAAAGGAAAAAAAAAAACGAAGAAAGCTTTCAGCTATAAAACCGTGGCAAAGAATGATACATGTAAAAATACTGTTGATAATGATGATTACAATAATAATAATAATAATAATAATAGTAACAATAATAATTATGGTAACGATAATAATGATAATGATAATAATGATAAAAATAATAATAATAAAATATAATAACAAAACTATTTCCAAATTCTACGAAATCGTACATTTTCAATAGTATTGGAAGTCAATTTATTTATTCTATTTTCTTATATCATTCCACTATGTAAAAACGATTTATATCCGTGTTTCCATATGAATATGTCAGTGTACATTTGCTACTGTGTATTATCTATTTGTGTATATTATTGTCTATTGTATGTTGTTCATGTGCTTATGTAATGCCAACAACTGAATTTCCAAATGGACCAATAAAATTGATCTGAATCTGATCTGAATCTGAATTATTCAATAAGTACAACTTCAGTTTACGTTTGAAGACAGTACTGACAGAATGGCTAATGCTTGAGTCAAGACTAAGAATGTTCCAAAACCCTGGTCCAGTGCAAACTAAAGTGTCGAGAGTAAACTTTGTCCTTGCATGGGGTAAGTGGAATGCAGAAGCACCGCTTGTGGCATAATTGTGAATTTGATTGTTTTTCTTGAAAATCTTGGCTAATGCCAGTGGCAGTACACCTGAGTTGAGATCAACCCAATTGCATATAATAAATAATTATCTTCTACCTTTAAAATCCTATGATGATAAAAAAAGAGGATTTGTATGAGCACGAAAGTCAGCATTACAGATTGTTCTTATCACCCTCTTTTGAGCCAAGAATAGTTAATCTAATAATGTGTTCTTAGAGATTTGCCCCAATCAAGCACACCATAATTAATAAAAGGTAGAAAAAAGTTGAATACAAGATAAGTAATATGCTTTGAGGAAGAGTAGACTTCAACCTACGAATTACACCAGTATTCCTTGACAATATTTTGCATAGATTATTTATATGAGTTTTCCACTTCGATTGTTCATCGATATAAAGACCAATTTAGTTGATGTTACCCTGTTTATCAGAACACTGTTGAAAATAATGTCACCGGACAACATCTAGAGCGAATTGCTGTATATCATATAATTGGTTTTTGTAAGATTAAGGGATAGTTTATTATCATGAATCCATGCAGTTATATTGCGCAACTCTGAGGTAACTGTTTGTAAAAGGACTTGTGCATCTTTGTGTGAAAAAAATATGCTTGAATCATCTGCAAACAAAATAAATACATCAGAAGAATATTGAAAATCATTCACATAAAGGATAAATAAAAGTGGACCAAGAAGTGATTCCTGTGGAACTCCACAGCTGACATTATATAACTCTGAATCAAAACCATTAATGGATACGAATTGCTGTCTGTCAGCTAAATAGCTCCTGAACCAATCTAGGGCAGCACCCCTGACCCCGTAATGGGATAATTTACATAACAATATTTTGTGATCTACTGTATCAAATGCCTTAGAGTAATCCAAGAATATTCCAAGTGTGTGCATGTGGTTGTCCATAGCATAAGAAACTTTATTGACAACGTGCAGTATAGCATGGGTGGTAGTATGTTTCTCACGGAAGCCAAATTGAAAGTTGGAAAAATGGTACTTGTATTGAGAAACTTTACAGTTCTCACGTAGATAAATTTTTCAAGAATTTTAGAGAAAGATGTTAATAGGGAAATGGGTCGGTAGTTCGTCAATAGTTTTGGGTCACCCTTCTTAAAAATTGTGACAACCTTTGCAAGTTTCATATTCCTGGGTAGTGGGTACAATGCCATTTGCCATTGACAGATTAAAAATATGCACTAATGGCTGTACTAATTTCTGCGGCTACGTTTTTAATTAGACTGTCGGAGATATTATCACAACCTGGGCTTTTTCCAATTTTCAAAAAATGTACTATAATATACTGATTACTTCTACTTCATTTGATGAGATTAAAAACAAACTTTGCTGGTT